TTTTCTCATCTGCACAATGGTATCTCACCTGCCGGCCCAGCCACATCAGAGGCACTCTGGGCAGCAGGATCTGCCTGGGCTTTGGCTGGACCAGAGACATGAACCATTTAAATATTTGCTTTAAAAGTGCGGCTGGGCGGTCACAGCTCCAGCACAGGCAGGGTGACATCTGCAGACCGTGATCCAGGCCCAGGCTCTGGCTGTCTGTGCCTCTAGGATCTTGCACTTCCCCTAGAGCCCTGGGGTCCTGTCTCTGCAGGCGAGGTTCGCCCCCTCTTCACTTCAGGAGGATCTAGGTTTGGGAAGGGCCTTGTCTCATGTTTGTTAGGCCTGGGCAGAGGGCACTGGCCAGCTCAGGGGCCCCGGGGAAAGTGGTGCCTGACCCGTGCCTCCCCACCGCCTCCCTCATCTGAGAGCCATGTGCCGTGGTACCCAGCCGGTGGGGAGGCATTCTGGAGGGCCCCCACGGTCCCACCCATGCTGAGCCCCCTCTGCTTGTCCTCGCTGTCTCTCCCCGGGGTCCATGCTGCCCACAGAAAGGAGTCACTGTGTGTCTGACCTCGGGGACGCCGCTTCTACCTTGGTGGAGCAGGCACCACCCACCCACAGGAACCCACAGCCTAGAAGGGACAGTGTGTGGGGCCTTGTTTTCCTGGCTCTGGGTGGAGAGAGGGAGGGAGATGGGGCTGTGTGCCAGGGTCCCCAACACGAGGATCTCTTGAGATAGTGGTGAGAGCCTACTTCCTGGCATGGTCCCTGCCTAGGCGGCCTGCATTCTGTACCGGCAATGAGGAGCCATGGGTGGGGTCAGGGCCACGAGAGAGAGCAGTCCCGGTCCCCTTTCAGGCTCACGTGGAGCAGAGAGCCTGTGCGTGCAGCTTCCTGTAACTGGGTCCTCCGTGCTATTCCCAGAGGACAATTCCTTTCCTTCGCCCGCATAAATATTATATGCAAGTGTTTTTTTTAAGTCATTTCATCATGAAAAGAAGCGATTTAACATAACTATTACCACGATTCTTCATGAAATATGCATCGAGCAATTAGGTCTAAAAGCGAGAGGTGAGGCCGCGTGCCCTGCTCGGGGCCGGCAGCTGCGGGCTGAGTGATGTTTTATTAAAGCCGTGATTATGAGGCGAGGTGGGGTCTGTCTGATAATCCTGGTGAGGGGGAGGAGCTTTTTGTGATGATAATGAGACTTGTCAGGTCACCGCCAGGGAGACGCCCCTCCTGGTGACATTGCTCTCAGGATGTCCTATCAAAGGAGACACGGGGCTGACACAGGAGCTCCCCAGGGGACCGGTGCTGCCTCACACAGCCTTAAAGAGGCTGGGAGCAGGCCCCTAGCCCTAAACACAGCACCGGATTCTGGCTGCACCTGCAACCCCCTCCCTGCCCCTTGCTGTGTGAGTGGCACGGGGTGGTGCGGTCTCTGGCCTCCAGCTCCCCCAGGGCACTCAAGGACATGGAAGGAGATGATCCCCAGCCTGCTTCCAGCCCCAAGGCCGTCCTGTTGAGAGCAGCCCTGGCCCTGCTGTGCACACTCCTTAGCTTCTCTTTACCCCCAGAAATCCTTATTTCTTCCTTTTTTTAAAAAAAAATAAAATATTGGGGCTGGTGCTGTGGCATAGCCGGTAAAGCCGCAGCCTGCAGTGCCAGCATCCCACGTGGGTACCAGTTCAAATACCGGCTAGTCCATTTCCAGTCCAGCTCTCTGCTATGGCCTGGGAAAGCAGAAGATGGTCCAAGTCCTTGGGCCCCTGCACCTGCATGGGAGACCTGGAAGAAGCTCCTGGCTCCTGGCTCCTGGCTTTGGATCGGCTCAGCTCCAGCCTTTGCGGCCATTTGGGAAATGACTCAGCGGATGGAAGATCTCTCTTTCTCTCTCTTTCTCTCTCTCTCTGCCTCTGCCTCTCTATAACTCTGCCCTTCAAATAAATAAAACCTTACAAAAATTATTTATTATTTATCTGAAAGGAATAGATGCAAGCGAAGGGCAGAGAGAGAGAGAGAGAATCTTCCATCTGCTGGTTCATTCCTCAAATAGCCCTAACGGCCAGGGCTGGGCTAGGCTGAAACCAGGAGACCAGAGCTGCTTCCAGGTCTCCCACATGGGTGCAGGCACCCAAGCACTTGGGCCGTTCTCTGCTGCTTTCCCAGGCACATTAGCAAGGAGCTGGATTGGAAATAGGGCAGCCAGATCTAGAACCATTTGGGATTCCGGCATCTCAAGCAGAAGCTTAACCTGCTGCACCCTAGCACGCGGGCGACTCGGGCGGCATTGAAGAGGCGTGTGGGCCCTTAGCTGACAGCGGCCCCGCCTCCCTGTCTGCCAGCAGTTCAGACAGACGACACAGAAGGGTTTTTAATTATTATTATTACTTGAAAGACAGGTCTTCCATCCACTGGCCCATTTCCCCGGATGCCTGCAAGAGCATGAACCAGGAGCTCAAAATTCCATCCAGGGTTCCCATGATGATGGCAGGGACACAAATACTTGAGCCGTCACCTGCAGAGCTGTGGCATCAGTCCCAGCCCCACCCACCACTGCCACCTCCATCTTCCACAGCCTCTACTCTGCTCCCTGAGCTGTCCGTCTGTGAGGGTCAGAGCCCAGTGTTCTGACACCCCAGGCATCGCCCCTGGGTGCCTGTGGAGGTCACACCCTGCTGCCTGCCCAGTGTCCCTCACGCCTATAGCCCTGCGCCCTGGCCTGCACCTGCCCACACCCCCGCTCCAGGCACAGCTCGGCACAGCCTCTAGGAGCACAGAGTTTTGCTTTGCTTTGCTTTGCTTTTTAAGACTGACTGATTGGAAAGGCAGAGTTAGATTTCTTCCATCCGCTAGTTCACTCCCCAGATGGCTACAACAACTGGGGCTAGGCAGGGCAAAGCCAGGAGCCACAAACTCCATCCTGGTCTCCCATGTGGGGTGCAGGGGCCCAAATACTTGGACCATCTCCCACCGCACGTTAGCAAGGAGCTGGATTGGAAGTGGAACTAGAAGCAGCACCCTATGGGATGCCAGCGTCACGGGTAGCAGCTTTACCCGCCACGCCGTCTCAACACGGCATGGGGCAGTCACAGCCCCTTGCCGGCTGGCGCAGATCGGTGGCCCCTCCACGTGGCAGGCGGATGAGTGCTCGCTCCCGTGGGGTTTTATGTTCCTCATTTAACACGTGCACGGCTCCCTCTGCAGCGGCCCGAGCCGGCGCCTGGCGCTTCTCAGACGAGGCGAGGCAAGGCGAGGCAATCCTCCAATGCGCTGACCCTTCACTGGGGAGCAGAGCTTGCCAGAGGCTCTGTAATTAGAACATCGCCAGCCTTAAAAAATCTTGATTTCAATTTCAATTCTTTACAGGAATTATTCTCTCTTGAAGCCGTAATTGCTCTCCGAACGATTTCCTTTAAGCCAGGGGTGACATCTCTAAATACATTATTATGAGCAGATGCATTGCTCAGTGCCGGTGCCGGCACTTCATTAGGCATTTGTTCTGCCCATCGGAAAGTGGTCCTGGGGCCCACATTAAGGTATTAATAGAGCAGACACTTGAGGCCTGCACCTGCTAGAAGAAACGCGCGTTTGGGTCCCTCGGTGTGAGGGTGGGGGTGACAGAAGTGACAGGAGTTGGAGGGCAGCAGGCTGCAAACCTTCCGTGGCCTCATGGGGCAGCCCCAGAGCTCAAGGCAGGAGGTGAGGGGCAGCCCCAGCTCTCTAGCAAACTCTCAGGGAACCTCCCTCAGTGCCACAGCAGCCACAGGTGTGGCGGCCATGGCACAGTCAGGTCCCGGGAGGCCAGGAGTGGCTGAGTGGGAGAGGGGAAGGCAGGCGGATGGAGCTGCGAGGTGGGAGTGCTCTGCTGGGGCTGTGCCCACACTGGTGGGCAGGAGGACCCAGCCGGCTCGGGGGCAGTGACTGGGCCTTGCGACTCCGTGGCTCGCTCCGGGGAACTGGGAGGATTACGAGGTAATTGCAGTTCAGAAAGTCAAGAGCAGGTGGCCGTGCAGGTGTCCTGGAGCAGTCCGACGGGAGCAGACTGCCCGCAGGGGCATGGAGGCGCCGGGCAGAGGGAAGGGGCGGCGAACGTCGCTCTGCGTTCTGCTGCTCTGACGGAATCCCTGAGGCTGGAAGCTTCACAAATAGGTTCATTTAGTGCAGCGTCGAGGCTGAAGGCTCAGGATCCAGCAGCTCTATCGACCGGTTCAGCCTCCGGTGCAAGCAGGGCGGGGGCGGGGGCGGGCCAGGTCACAGGCCACAGTGGAAGCGAGCAGGTTAGGGGAGTCTGTCTCCGGTCAGCCTGCTCTCCCGGGAGCTCCACAAGGGAGGCAGCTGCATCTGGGCATCAGTGACCTGGTGACCTCCCCTTAGAGGCTGCACTGACCCGGGAGGAGGGTCTGGGGCAGGCAGAGAAAGAGCGCATGTGCCATTGGCTGAAACTCATCACGTGGCTGGCTGGATGCAAGGGAGGCTGGGAAATGTAGTCCCTGGCTGGGTGGCCCCTCCCCAGTGACCAGGCTGCACTGTGGAGGGCGGAGCAGTTTGCCCCCCCATCCCTGCCACTCGGTTTCCTCATCTCTAAACAGGGGGATGGGGACATGAACGGCCGCACCTGCCAGGCAGGACGTAACAGGAGAGGCTGACCGTGCTTTCCGCTGAGGAAGCCCCCAGAAGCTCTTGGTGCGGGAAGTGGAACCTGCAGCTGTGGTCGCTGCTGGTTCCTGGTCGGGTGCACTCCCGGGTGCAGCCGCTCTGGGGCCAGGGTTCTGGCTGGGACTGGTGCAGCTCCCAGCGGCTTCGTGGCTGCATCCAGGGTGTCCTGCACCTCAACAGGAGTTGCCAGGGGGGTGGTTCTCGGGGAACGAGTGTGACACAGGACACATCCTGCTCAGGGCAACGTGAGCAGCTCTGACCGAGTGGCCGAGCGGGCCCTCCCCCAAGCGGGCCCTCCCCCGAGCGGGCCTCTTGCTCTGCAGATCCTAATGACCTCTGTGTTTTGTCCACAGGAGCAACCAGGGTTTTATGCACATGAAACTGGCCAAAACCAAAGAGAAATACGTCCTGGGGCAGAACAGCCCCCCATTCGACAGTGTCCCGGAAGTCATCCACTACTACACCACCAGGAAGCTGCCCATCAAAGGCGCCGAGCACCTGTCCCTCCTGTACCCGGTGGCCGTGCGGACCCTGTGAGCAGCCCAGCCCGGCTCTGAGCCAGCGGCCTGGCCGCCGTTGTCCCGTGTGTGTTGTGTGCACGGCACTAGCACACCACTGCGTGTCCCTCGAATGCCCGAGAGGGCCTGGATGAAGCTGAGGGACAGAGGCCACCCCAGCCCCCAACCGATCCCCTCCTTGAGTTTCTGTGAATTAAAATATTTGCAAATCCAAAGAGATGCCTTCCAGGATGAACAAAGGCAGAGCTGCCCGGAGGGGCGGGGCGCGAGCTCCCGGGCGCATCTCTTTGTTCACCAGCTGTCAGGGTTCACACCTGTGTGTGAGGCCAAGTTTTCCCACCGGTGCTAGGAGCCAAATGCTGGCGCTCTGAGAGCCCAGGAGGCCCGGGGCTCCCGCCCCACCCTGGCGCGTGCGTGTGTGCTGTGTGTGTGTGTGTGCGCGCGTGTGTGTGAGAGAGCATGGGCACACACGGATGAGTGAAGCCCACGGATCCACTCGTAGTCACTCAGTGTAATCATTAGATCGTCAAGCTATCGTGTGCAGTCCAAAAGAGGCCTCAATTATTTATGAATAGGGTGTGTAAATAAAATAGTCATTTAATATATATTCTTAATCCCTTTTTTTAATGTGCCAGAGAGGGCCTCTTGCCTGCTGGGTTCATTCCCAGAGCAAGGGCTGTCTGCTCTGTGCTTGCCGGTGTGAGCAGCCCCCAGGCGGGCAAGGAGGCAGGGGCCCACAGGACAGGTGCAGCAGCATGGGGGTGGGGCATTCCTTGGCCCCGCCCCCAAAGAGTCCTCATGCAGACCCTGCCCCCAGGCCTGCGCTGGCTGTGGCTGGCATCCAGCAACCAGGGTTTGCCTGCAGCCAGTGAGTCTGCAGAGGGCTCTTCTCCCGTCGTCCCGCAGTCACACAGAGAGGGAAAGTAACTTGCCCTCAGTCACACAGCTTGTGAGCAGCAGATCAGACTCCACGGCCAGTGCTCTTCCCCCAGCTCTGCGAGGCCTGGCAGCCAGTTACCCTGCTTTGGGGCGGGGCAGGGGCAGCACCCCAGCCTTGCCGGGGACACGGAGCCTGATCTGGTGTCCGCCTGCTTACACACAGAAAGGTGACCTTGACAGCACTAGAGGTTCTTCCCGCACATGGGGGAAGCCCCCCCCCCCCCCCGCGGCTGCGAGGTTGCTACCACTCAGCTCCCGGTCTTCCCCGCCCACCTGGTACTGTGGAGGGGTGGCTGCCGCCCACTGAACCCAGTGCGAGGGCTCCAGCGTGGGCACGGGGCCAGTGCCATCGCCCAGCACACATCCTCCCACCCCCCGGCTGATCCGCGTGGACTGGAGTCTGAGGGCCGACGAGTGGCGCGCGTGGGAAGGGCCTCAGCTCGGACCGGCTGCCGTCTTCAGAGGTGATTCCGGCTCGCTGCCGAGGTGCGGACACAGAGCCCCGCAAAGGGGAAGAACTCGCCGAGGCCGCCCGTGGACTTGGGGCAGAGCAGGACTAAAAGCCGTGCCCACTGGGGGACAGCGTGGATCTCCGCGGTCTGCGGCCGAAGCCGTTTCCTGGGCGATTTGCCATTCATCCGATCCTGTTTCCTGTGGCCTGAGGCCGTCTCCAGAGATGCTGACCTTGACCCTGTGCCTGTTTTGCATTTTCCAAAGCATCCTTCCGGTCAAGGGAGGGAGGAGCGTGGTTGTGGGGGGCGGTTTGCACCTGTCTAATGGAGGAGGCCTGGGAAGTGCAGAGCTTGGCCACATGGGGAGGGGGCGGGGGGGCGGGGGGTTGTGCCATGAGGCTTCACCCTGGCAGGTTCCTGAGGGCTGGAGCTGTGTGTGCAGCCGCTCTGCCCCCTGGGGGGAATCCTGGGACCCTCTGCGCCCGGCCTCTGCCGTCCCTGGACGTTCCCGGGAAGGCCCACCCGCCCTCGGGGACCAGGCGGGCAGAGGAGCCAGCTTACAGGATGGGAGCTGCCAAAGGCATTTGCCCTTCGTTCCGCGAACCTCTCCCTCTTCTTCCTCTGATTGTGGCCGCTTCCTGTGAGCGTGTGTGCGTGTTTTCTTGGACAACCCCACAATCGAAACCGCTTTGGCCTCTCAGGGGCATACTCACTCGGGTTACGGCCCTGGGCTGGGGGGTTCTGTGGCCTTTTTATTTATTTATTTTGTCATCTGCGGCCAGTGCCCTGGGGGAAGCAGCTGCCCGGCACCCAGGAGCCCCCGCAGCACTGCTGTCCCCCTGCACGGCTCCAGCCACGCACGGCCTCCCCGCCCGGGGCCCCGGAGCTGTGTCTGTCTCTGCCACACTGCTTTGCTCACCGCAGCGCCCACCTGGGAGTCCAGAGCCCTTTCCGAAGCCTCACGTGGCGTCTGCAGACAGAAGGCGGCCTTGTGTGGGAGAGGGGCTCTCCTGGAGAGGCTCCCGGGACAGCCCAGGAGGAAAAAGAGGAGGCTCGGGCCTCTGGGAAGGCCGGAGCTGCACAGACCCCTGATGCAGCTTCCAGCCAGCAGGTGGAGGGAGCCCCGGCAGCCTCGGCGGCAAACCCAGCGCCAGGGTGCGGAATGCCAAGTCCTACAAAGCTCCCCAGACCCGACCTCAGGAAGCAGCCGAGGCAGGGGCCGGGCTGGGTCAGGCCACCGTCCAGCAAATTGCCGCATCTGCCTCTTCCACCTGCCAGAGCCACCCCAGGGACCCCCGGCCTCCCCGCCCCCCTCGGCGAGGCCCCTTCCAGCCCCCTCCTGCCAAGACAGTGTCGTGTCAGCTTCCAGTTGTGTGTGCCCCCGTGTGTGATGACAGATACTTAATGTGTAGCTTGTAATACACACGTGTCTTGTGGACCGCACCCCGGAGCCTGCATTTTTCTTTCCGTGACGTGCAACCAGGAATCCAGCGGATCACCTCACCTGCACTTCTGCCACCGCCCCCCCAAAGAGGGCTGTCCTGGCCAGGAGGGACCCTTCCGCTTCCCCAGTGTGCTCGCTGATGAGAACAGCTTGTGGGGAAGACGTGGGCTGAGCGCCCGCTGGTCCCCGAGGCCGGTGGACAGAGGTGAATGGCACCCCGCCCCTGCCCACAGGAGCTTGCCAGAACGCAGCGCGGAGGGAGTCCAGCTGCTTGGGGGCCCTGGGCCAGGGATCTGCTAGGAGGGGTCAGGAACAGTTGGGCCCTGGAGGATGAGTAGGAGTTTCCTAGGAGTCTGGGGGGCTGTGGGAACAGGCAGGGCACCTGGTCTGCAAGGGCTTCAAGGGGCAGGGCGGGCAGGGGGCAGTGAGCACCTAAAGCCAGAAGTAGCCATGGTCTCCCTGGGGACGAGCAAGGGCAAGGCACAGGTAGACTGGGGTCTACCTCAGGTCTTTCAGCAGCCCTAGCCCCTCCCTCACACACAGATCAGGGAGACCCCCCACACACCCCGACACTCGGTGGAGGAAGCCAACCTGCTTGTCTCACCTCCAGCCCCAGCCCCACCCTCACCCCCACCGCTCTGTGCCCCAGCCTGCCCCTTCTTCCCCTCCCCTCCCCACTTCAGTGACCTTGAGCCCACACATCCAGCTCCCAGGCATCCACCCACAGGCCCAGGGGACAGCTGTGTTCGGGGAGGGCAGGCCCTGGTGACCCCTGTGCTCACCCAGCCAGGTCCCAGGGGTGTCCTGAAGGGAGGGAAGAAAGGTCACCTCTAGACTGCTTTGCACTAGGGAGTTTTCCCGTCTGTTAAAGCGGGAATTCAACAAGTGTGTGGCAAGAAGCAGTGACAGGGGAGTGACAAGAAGCTGATGGCCAGGAGCGGGCAGCTGGCACAGGTGCCAGAGCCTGCAGTGGACAGCCGGGTACCTTTGTCTCCGCACAGGAGCCCAGCGGGCAGGCCAGATGCTAAGGCCCAGGGAGGGACAGAGGCCACACAGCACGTCCATCTCCACGTGCCTGGTGGGGCTCAAATGGAGCCAGTTGGGGGATGGGGGTGGGAGTGACCTTGGCCAAGTGCAGGGTTGGGAGGCACAGGGTGGGGCTGGGGGCGTCTTCCTTGAGCTTGTGAACCAATTTAGTCCTTGCTGGTTCCCTCCTGAGTGGGAGTATCCCCGGCCGGCAGTGACCCCCGTCCTCTCTGGCCTTGAGGATAGTTTCTGAATGAGAGCCATAGTCTAAAGTTACCAGCGTGGCTCTAGTGCCCTCACGTGGTTCCACTTGGGATTGCAGCCAGCCCAGAGGAGAGGCAAACATAGGCTCCAAGTCAGCAGGCCCGTTACAGAGCAAGAAGCTGAGGCCTAGAGGAGGAAGACGCAGGTAGCACCGAGCGGTGCATGATGGGGGCTCTCGCAGGAGGGGCAGAGGAGGTGGCATGTGAGCCGGGACCCACATGGGGGGCCTAGGGGCAGCCTAGGCTGAGGGAACGCCGTGAGCCAGCCCCAGGGGCACACTCCAACTCCCAGCCCAGTGCTCCCTCCTCCCACTGCACCTGCTCCCAGGCCTGCAGCCCCGGACTGAGAAGGAGGGCAGGCCACACCAGAACAACTCAGTACAGAAGCAGTGTCATGCAATGCTTTCTGCTGCGTTACTTCTCTCTGATTATGAAACCCTGGCTGCTCTGCTTCTGAGCCAGCTCCCTGCTAATGCATCCTGGGAAGGCAGCAGAACATGCCCCCCGCCGCCCACGGGGAGACCTGGTGGAGCTCCTGGCTCCTGGTCAGCCCGGCCCAGCCACAGCCATTGCAGGCTTTGGGGGAGTAAATCAGCAGATGGTAAACCTCTCTAACACTCTGCCTTTCAAATAAACAAATTGTTTCAAAAAATTATCAACTTTCCAGCTGGCCCTGTGGTGTGATAGGCTAAGCCTCCACCTGCCACACCAGCATCCCATATGGGCACCAGTTTGAGTCCAGGCTGCTCCTCTTCCGATCCAGCTCTCTGCTGTGGCCTGGGAAAGCAGCAGGAGACGGCCCAGGTCCTTGGGCGCCTGCACCCGCGTGGGAGACCTGGAAGAAGCTCCTGACTCCTGGCTTCAGATCGGCGCAGCTCCGGCCATTGCAGCCATTTGAGGAGTGAACCAGCGGACGGAAGACCTTTCTCTCTGCCTCTCCTTCTCTCTGTAACTCTACTTCTCAAATAAATAAATAAAATAAGAGTATGCATTAGATTCTTTAAAAAGTATGAACCTACTGAACTAAGTTTGTATTTTGGGAAGAGGACAATCACTCCGAAGGGAAAGGACAGGATACTGCTGGCACTCTGGAGTGCTGCCTGGGGCTCGCTACCCCCCCACACACACACGCCCACTCCCCAGTGCTTTCAAGCCGCACCTGCACTCAGCTCCACGGCCCCGCCCTTCCTGCTCCGCGGTATCCAAAGCAACAGGCTTTGTCCACAGCTGTGTCTGCTTCAGGCATCCACAGGGCACCTCCTCCTCGCAGGGAGGAAACGCGTATGGCTGAGGCCTTTCCAGACTCCCCGGTCGCCGCCACGGATCGGATCGTCTTCCCCTGCCCTACTGGCGCGCGCCCCCGGGGACGCCGTTCCGTTCTGCACCTGGCTGGAAACGTGTGGCCTGAGCTGAGCGTGGCCTGAGCTGAGCAGCCTGCAGTCAGCAGAGGCGACGGGGTTCAGGTGCTGGGGCCGTGCAGCGGGACGCGAGGCTGCCCGGGTTCTGCTGGGAAGGTACAGCTCGTTGTGCCTGTCTGGGGCCTACAACCACAGATGGCGGCCAAGCGAAGCCATCGCAGCTGCTTCTGTCGCCCTGGCCGCCCCCCCCCCGGCGTGCCCCTGAGGGAGCCCCGTCCCTTCCACTCAGCAGAGGTTGCCTCTGCCCCTCTTGCGCCAGGGGCCGCCCAGAGCAGCTCAGACGGCGCCCCGCCCTCCCCTGCGCCCTGCACAGCCCAGGCTCCGGGGCTAACGCAGCCAGGGCCCCACCACAGCAGCGGCAGGAAGCCCGCGGTTCCTCCCCTGGCAGATGGCAGGAAAGCAGCGAGCCTGCTGGCCCTGTGCGCGGCTTCCAGAGCCATCGACTGTTAGATGAGGTTGGCCAGGAGGAGGACAGGTGCGTGCGGGAGCCCTCGCAGCCACGGGATTTCAAAGGAAAGTTCCAAGGGGGTCTGGGGGGTGGGGCAGGAAGCTGCTCGTGCAGATAAAAGATGCACTTGCGGTGGGGGCGCTGTGCCGCCCCGCAGTGCCTTTGCTCAAGTGCCAGCGGGAGAGAGGCCCCGACTGCCGATCTGCTCTGCCTCTGTCCCCACACGAGGGAGGCGGCGGCCTGACCTCGGGCTGGGGCCAGGCAGGTCCCGGGACCTCTCTGAGCACACAAATCTGACGAACAGCCCAGGAAATGGCTCCTGGAGTAGTTTGGGAACACCCAGATGGTGATGCAAATGTTTGCTGGTTTATTGACCTGGCCCTTTCTAGATACGAATGTGTTTGCATTTCCCAAGTCTGGCTCACAGGTGTCCCTGGGGCCTAGCCAGAGCTCAGCCACTTTGCTGAGCTGCGAGTGGCCAGGGCGCAGGGAGAAAGGCAAAGTTGGGTTGGGATGAAGATCAGGGGAGCAAGCGGGCTGCCGCCGCCTCCCCGTAACACTTCTGCCTGTCCCCCGCTTTTCCTGGTGCCCACCTTGTTTAAATCTCAGAGGGGATCACCTCTTCCAAGGTGCCCTCCCTGACTGCAGCTGGTATGGCCTCCCACTCCCATCAACGCTCACTGCGCTAGTTCGGTGCCTTTCCCAAGCAGCGCTGATCGTCTCCCTAGGACTGGGCTCTCCACGCTCTCTGGGCTGTAGGCTCGTGCACGTCCCCCTCCTGAGCCCTGCTCCAGGGACCTTGTGTTCCAGGCTGTGTCTCGCTAGGATGCATCAGAATGTCCATTCATTCATTCATTCATTTGGCAGAGTTACAGACAGAGAGAGAGATCGAGAGAAAAAGATCTTCCATCCACTGGTTCACTCCCCACAAATGGCTGTAATGGCCAGGGTGGGGCCAGGCTGAAGCCAGGAGCCAGGAGCTTCTTCCGGGTCTCCCACGTGGGTGCAGGGGCCCAAGGACTTGGGCTGTCTTCTACTGCTTTCCCAGGCCACAGCAGAGAGCTGGATGGGAAGTGGAGCAGGCGGGACTCCAGCTGGTAAGTGGGATGTGGCCAGCTTAACCTGCTGCACCACAATGCCCTCCACTGGGGATCTTTTATTTTTAATGAAACTTCTAGAACCCAGATACCAGGTCCTTGACTCCCATCTGTCATGTGCACCTGAGCCACCTGGTGAGCCATTAACCCCCCGCGTGGCTCCCCGGGGCCAGGAGGCCACGTATCTAAGAGCTCCCGGGTAACACAGGCCCGTGTTGCCGAGCGGGTCCAGGTGACTCTTATCTTCAGGTAAGGACATGGGGAGGAAAGGACGTGGGGCTGTCAGTCTCAGCCTCCGCACACCCGGGGCGTGGGGAGGGCTTTTACACAGCCTCTGCCCGACCCCACCGCCAACCCATTCAACCAGAATCTCCAAGGGCAGGGGGACTGCTAGGGCTCTTATGGCTTTTGCAGATGATTCTAAGATCAAACAGGGCTGAGTTATTAGCATTAAAACAAATGAAGGGGAGGCAGTGTTGTGGTGCAGCAGGTTGGAGCGCCACCAGCCCCATATCCCCCAGTCCTGGCTGCTCCACTTCTGATCCAGCTCCCTGCTGATGCACCTGGGAAAGCAACAGAAGATGGCCCAAGTGCCTGGGCCCTTGCACCTGCGTGGGAGACCTGGAAGAAGCTCCTGGCTCTTTGCTTTGGCCTGGCCCATCCCCAGCATTGCGGCCATTTGGAGAGTGAACCAACAGATAGAAGACCTCTCTATATATATAAATAAGTTTAAAAAAAAAAAATGAA